TGATGCAGAAAATGACCATCTGAGAATATAGGCAAGTTACTCAAAATCACACAGGAATTATTAGAGTCAGACCACTTAATAATTCATTAAATACAGTGTCTATTCCAGAGCAGGAACTATGCTAAGTGGAGCTGTAAATAAAAATAAAAGAATCCAGAAAGAAGCATTCAGAATTAATGCTACAAGCAAGTGATAAATAGTTCTGTTTTCCTTTCCTCAAAAGACTCTGGACTCTCTACTCTCTACTCTCTCTCCCTCCCTCCCTCCCTCCCTCTCTTCCTCCCCCCCCCCGTCCCCCCTCCCCGTCCCTCTTCCCCTCCCCTCTCCCTCCCTTCTCCCTCTCTCTCCCTTCCTATCCCCCTCTCTCTCCCCTTTCTCTCTTTCTCCCTCTCTCCCTCCCCTCTCTCCTCTTTTTCCCTCCCCCTCTCTCACTCTCCTTCTCTCTCTCCTTTCCTCCCCCTCTCCCTCTCCCCTCTCTGCCCCTCCCTCTCTTTGAACATGACTCCTGAAATGTTGCTGTGTGTGTGTGTGTGTGTGTGTGTGTGTGTGTGTGTGTGTGTCACTGGGAAATCCCTACGGAAAGGAAGAGAGGCGTTGTCAGTACATTTATTCTTCAGTCTCTTTTGTGAATTCATCCCACCTCAGGCTGTCTGTGTCCCTCAACCATGGTTTCTCTTAAGACAACTCTCCTACTAAACTCCAGCAGCCTTTTTTGGTGTTTGCTAAATTAGGTTTCCTACTGGAAATCATTGTAACTGGAAGTACTACAGGAATCAGAGCCCCCAAAAGGGATACGTTAATTTTTAGTTTTTCTTACAATTCAATGTTTAGAGGAAATGGATGAAGAGTTACAGACCATGTAGACTACATTTCAAAGAGAAGACAAGAACACAAACTGGCCCTGCAAAGTTTAGGCTAGAGCAGGCTTTCCTGCCTCTTGGTCCTGATGACCTAGCAGGACCGGTGAAATTGGAAGATGCTGTGCATTCAGAGATGCTCCACAGGGGACCCTCTGGCAATCTCTGGTCAAGTCATCACTGCACGGACTCCTGGGACTTTCAAGTAAAACAATGTCCTCTCCAGTACTATATGTTGGCAGATGGTTACAAAACTCATCTCTGGCCATAGGAAATCCAGTGGATGCAGGATAATGAATAGCTGGCTGTGATCTGATCCAAAAAAGTGCAAATTTGATGTTTACATCATTATTGCATTTTTAACCTGTGCACCTATGAAGAGGCCCTATTTAGGTCTTGAAAATGTATGTGAGTTGCCTATGATTCTGTCTCAGGACATTTCACCCTAATGGGCTGTTTTCCCTCAAACATCAATAAAGTCTGACAAATAATTCCCTGCAGTCAGACTGTTCACTGTGGTAGGTCTGTAAGTGTGTCAGCACCAGCCAGTCAGGCAAGTTTATTCAGCTGACCTAAGTGACAAAGGGAAATCCTTCAAGTAAGTAACTTTAGGTAGGATGTCTGGTTTGTTACTTCCTACAAAGAAAAAGACCTCAGGTATGGTGCTACATTAACCTGGGTATAACTTTTAAAACATAAAACTGGAAAATAGTATCAAAGATGTCTGTAAAGAAGTGTTAAGGGCAGGGCTCTTAGTAAACTGAGGATATTAGGCTAATTTTCTTTGCCTAAATCTTATAGAGGAGATCACAGAAGATGCCTCCATAATGAAGTGAACAAAATCTGATTGCAAATTTCACTCTGTGCCTTTCAATAGTCATCCTTATATCTGTGCAATAAGCCCTCATACAAAATGCCAAAATAGTGGTGAGAGAGGCAATATGTAGCTTTAATACCCCCTTCCTCTGCAGAGGTGACCAGGCTTTCCTGAACAGCAGCACCCAACTTGTGGACAGCCAACACTAAGATCCCTTGCTCAAGAAAACCATGGCCCACTAGCTATGCAAAGCCAGGAAAAACACTCTAGCCCACCTCTCACTGTCAGGGCTTACTCATTAGACTCAGAAAGACAGACTTACTGGTACATGCCTTCTTTGCCTGTGATATTTGTGCAAGTAGCATCTTTTAGAGAGTTACACAGTACACCAAGGTCTTCTCTAAAAATGGCCTCCACACTATTTTTCAGCAAAAGAAAGAGCACAATCAATTCATTCATAGAATGTGTAGATCAGGTCACTTAGTCTCTGTAGAAGGGTCTGGATGGAACTTCGTGTGCCCTAGTAAAAGCTTAGCTAGAACACAAGCCAAGGGATCAGCAAGTTTAGCATGCTGTCTGTAAATTGTGGACATAAGCCTCATGCCAGTGTGTGTGTGTGTGTGTGTGTGTGTGTGTGTGTGTGTGTGTGTGTGTGTGTGTGTGGTTAACTCTGACACAGAATTCACAGCTTCAGAAGCAGCTGGAGGTATACTGCAGAGTCCAGTTTCCCTAAGTTAAGATTCCCAGAGGATTCACGTAACTGAATGTGGGAGTGGGGTCACAAAAATTTAGCAATTGTGAATGATTTCTGTACATCCAATGACCCAAAACTAATTTAAAATCAAATGAGAAATGACTCATAAGTGTTTAGCAGTGTTCTCCTGTTTTGACCATACCACAGCTTTGGCTCTGAACACGTGTACTTGGCACCATGCATGCAGTCACACCATGCAATGCCAACGGACATTTGTCAGAATCGCCTCAGCTTAGATCAAGACTACTAGCTAATATTATACTATACACACAACATTTTCCGCTTTTATAGAAACATTAATAGTTTAATTGGGGTAAACAGACTTTTAATATTTTTCTGCCATCATTTCTCGGTACATTTTGATTTGTCTTATATTCAATGTTTGACTTGTAAATTGCTGTCTGGATTGCTGATTACATTTTTCAGAAGAAATCATTTAGTGAATTTTGGTTTGAGATTAGCAGAAACAAAAAAATCTGAACTAGCCTTAAACCTGTCCCTGTCATTCTTTACTACGTATTTATGTTAAGTAGCATTTTTGGCATTTGAAATCATAAAATCAAAATTTTAATCAACTCTGGAAAATGTTGCAGATGATCTATGTCCTGCAATATCAACATTCAGCAAAGACTGAATGCTTGATCTAGAAATGAACAAGTGCCATCCATCTCACTCACAAGCTTGCTTTTGTCTCTTTAATGAGTGGTGAAATTACACCTGTCCCAAAGATATCTGAAGATGAATTTTTGAGTTATTACCAGTACATGATTTGATTATATACTTATTTTATATGTCTGTATTCCTAGAGTCTCATGAAAATTTTCCCAGTGAAAAATAATCACAGGAAGCAGCTCTAGCTATAAAGATGCACACCTCCAACTCTAGGAACAGGGGAGAGCAGTCAGTCTTAAATTGAAATTCTAAGAATTCTTATTATCTGTCCCCAAGATCTCAGTGAGTATGAAGAGCCTACTGCTCAAGAGAATCATGCTTGTACTAGTGGATAAATTTAGAATGCAGGGAATTCAGAGAGGGTGCTTTTCATACTCTATTCTCAGCAGTCCTGCTCAAGGGAAACCAGCCCAATAAAAACAAGACCACTAAGGCCTCCGTTCATGGAGAAACCTTCTTCCTTCTCTGGTCCTTGGATGTAGACTATTACCTCCATTAGTTCTAGCCTCTTGTTACTGAGCCTGCCCATACGGTTCACTGACTGCCTCCCAGAGTTCTGTGAGTGGTCCCTCTTCTCTTTATTATTTATCTTCATTTAAATGCCTCACCTCTTTCTAGAAAGAGCAGTCTAATTTCATTCCCAACATAGTGTTCACAGATAGCATATGCACCATTACCCATATTTTAATGAAAAAATAAAACCATGTTAGACACAAAAGGATTACCAAGTAGTAAAGGCATTCTAAGAATATAAAATATTCATCCCTTTTGCTGTTGTGACTAGGTTTTCTAATGGTTTCAATGTTTTTATTTCATAGCTAAGGTGTCCTTCTTCAACTCTTTGTCACCAAAGTGAAACTTCATGTGAAAAAGGGAGAAATTAATTCTGCTATTAACACAAATACCCAAGTAGAATTCAAGTGGATTAAGTTGACAGGCATTTATTTCAGGAAAATCTCAAAACTATTTCTACAACCTTCTTGGCTAATGAAAATCACCCTTAAATAGAAAATAAGAATCTCCAGAAACTTTCAAAATTGTCATTCCCCCCACCACCCCTGCTGATAGAAAGTCCTCCTGTGGAATGTGAGTCGAGTTGTTTTGATCATAGTTTAAATAATAGAATAGAAATAATTGTCATTCATGTTCCACGTGAAACCACATGACTTTACTGCTTTGAGAAAAAAAACTAATTTAAGAGAAACTTTAAAGGTTTTCAAGAAGCCTGCTACTATTTGCCAATAGGATTTAAACCACATATTAATTAAATATTTGCAGTCATCCTAATGGACTATTTCCAGCTTACAGATGCCAACATCATTGATGCTCTCATACATTTAGGAAACAGGGTACCATTTCCTATAAATCTGTATAAGGTATTCTCCAGCCTATGCACCTCTCATTGCCACTAAGGAATCTTAAAGGGGCTTTCAAGACATACAGAGCTTGGTTAAGTTTTAATATAAGCTGGGGGAAAAATCATCTGCTAGTATCCTAAAGAGTAGCATTTCCGAAACACAGAAAGAAATATGGCTTTGTGGGGTTCCACCAAGGAAGGGACCTGGTCCTGCCATTGGCTACTATGCACACAGCACATGTATTACGTCAAAAAGATCTAAAATATAAAGGATCCCACCTAGCATAATAGGAATGATAGGTTGGATGGATGATGGGGGGGCTAGTATAATAGGAATGATAGGTTGGATGGATGATGGGGAGACGTAGACGTTCTTTCTGTTGGCAGAGGTGGATAGGGCAAGTTGCTTAGGCAAAGAATGACAAATGGGAAGGGGGCTGAAAGTCAGTGGTAACTGCAGCCATTGTGACAGAACAAGGAATTAGGTCAGCAGTGGGGTGACAGGGAACAGGCAGGCTGCCAGCCGAGCAGCGAGCAGCACAGAGACAGAATTGAAAGCCCTTCTCCGAAGAGGTGGCCCAAGAGGGGTCTGCATTTCCATATTCGGGAACCCAGGAAATATCTGCTCTGTTAGGGGAGAGTGCAAGGAATGGGAGCGACATTGAAAGGGGCCACCGTGCCAGCCTAAAGGTTCCCCGGATACTATGAGAAAAGAGACACTGTTATCGTGAGGAATTTAGGTGAATCTACTCGTAGAGCACTCACCACACGGCATTGGTAATAACAGCCATACAGCACTGCCCTTACAGGTAACTTACTCCTCATGGCAGTCTTGGGCACATACAAATGGGGACGTTGAGGGATGAGGAGGTCAAGTAACAGACATACCTCTAGAAAGGTAATGAGACAGGGTATGAGTGCCTACACCAAAGCTAAGTCAGCAATATCTAGGGAATGTGGGGCTTCACTACCTGGGGCTCACATCTGTCCAGCAAGTGTCTAGCATGACAGACACTCCATGAATATTGGTTGGCTGAATGTTATGCTCATAACAAAAGTATATTTTTCTCAGAACACCCTCACAACTTGATACCCCAGAAACCATCCACTCAGATCCTTCTAAAGAATCCCCTGTGGAATGAATTGAACAGGAGATTTTCCTTGTTCAGTTTTTCTCTATAATGCAAACCTCAGAAAGCGCAAAGGCACTTTGTCATGTTTGCCCATTCCATATCTTCAAAACACATGGAACCAGATTTAATGTTCTTAAGATGTGGGGATTTTTTAACCCAGTATTTATCAGTTAGTGGGTGTTCAGTAACTAAATAAATGACAGGAAGATTGTTTTGCTGACACCAAATGGGAAAGCATGTTACTGAAGTCAGAGTCCAGGCAACAGGTCCCAGAGGATTTCCTAGGATGGAGTAGACTTTCCCCAACAGCCACCCTGCCTTTCTCTGTAAGATAAACACATTTTTAAGATTACTTGGGTACCATTAAAGTGGTAGTAGGAAGGATAAGTAACTTGTCAAATGCTTATTATTTGAAAAGTACCTTCTGTACCAACTGAGATAAATGACTCTTAATTTCTGACTGCAAAAATAAATAAAAATATTGGAAGGACTTGACCATGATCACACGTTTTAAAAAGAAAAAGAAGAAAAGCAGGAACTGAGTCTAACTGCCTGACTCAGAAGCAAACACAGCAGAAAGCCAATAGCCAAGGGGCGGCACTCATTGATTGTGGTGGTGCTGCTGCTGCCGCCGCCGCCACTGTTTTGCAGGGCCAGCCAGTTCATCATTTGTATTATGTTGGGTGTACTTCCATTTTTCTTGACATAATTCACGTCAAGAGTCTTGAGGTTCTCTGGGCCCAGGGCGTATTGTAATAGTAAAGGAATGTTTTATTGCTATTTCCTGACCTCCATCTTGTTGGTGACTCAAGCAGGTCTGTCCTTGAACAGAATATGCTGGTCTGATCTGAGGTGTGTGTTCAGAGGCATGCTGACACTTTAGAGATACTTAAAGCAAAGCCTGCCCCTGTGGGAAAGAATATCAATGGGCTTTGGAATCTGCCCCGTCCATTCTGTTGTTTACCGACTGTAGGCATAAGTGGAAAGCTACAGTTTTCTTCTTGGCTGACTCTTCTAATTTCATCACATCTAATAAAAAGTAACTGGAGAACCAGCATCTTGCTTAGATCATCTACACTATGCTAGAATACAGTAATTTGAGTAGTTCCCATCTAGAATTTTTTCTACTGTCATTGTGTAGCAGCATCCATATTGTTCTTAGCATCTTTGTGTTCCTGAAACCCAATTCAGTTCTTTCCTACCTAGAGGCATGTTCATGGGTGTTATCTCAGTCAAAATTCTTCTCTAGTCTTTGCAGAGACAGCCCCTTCTCACAGTAGAGGGTTGAACTTAAATGTGTCCTCCTCAAAGAGATCCTCTCTGACCACCCAAATCAATGTGGTCGCTTGAACACCACCTCCCAACATTTTAATTCCGTGCCTGGCATTTGCAGCCCTACAGTGTTGAGCTGTGTGTCCCACAGTGAACAGGAAGACTGAGTGGTTATCTCTTTGCAGTGGTATCTCCAGGTTGTAAAACATAGCCTGACACATGGAGGTGATAACCTGATATTGCATGAACGAAAAAAAAAAAACAAAAACAAAAACGATGGTATGAAGACCATGTCCTACACTTTCAACTAGCCTCAGCGATATAATTAATGAAGCAAGATGTCATGTAGAAGATAAAATGCTTTTACCATATAGCATACATAGTCTGGAAAGTCAATTTGAGGTGTTAATATTGTTTTCATATAAGAGTCTAAGATTATGGAATCTGGGCTAAAACACGTAAAGTACATAAAACATAAAATACCATCTGAACCATTTCTGCACACATGGCATCTACCCAATGAGCAATTTGTGATTTTACTTCCAAACTGCAACACAATTTCCAGATTTGAGTTTTGCTTTGAAGTTTAGAAAGCTATGAACAATGTTTGATCTCTCACTTCAGTATTTTTTCCAAAGGCACTTTATAATCTAGCAGTAAAGGAGGACTAACTATAAAGTATCCAATCAGAGACCCAAAAAGCCTAGCAAACCTTCAAAGGTAATCTTTATTGGTACACTTTTTCCACTACTAAGTGTTTCCAACTTCTATCCACCTTCACTGAGTTGCTATGAAGTTTTAATGAAGTCACGTTCATTAAGCTCTTTGATATTCTAAGTAAGGTAAAAATACAATCTTTTTTTTTAGTCTTCTGATGCCTGCTGATAGAATTAAAAAGCAATAATATCTCAACCACTTCAAAAAGAATTGGGTTCCCTACTGATTAGAACTCAGAACTTACCATACTTTTTGGTAAATAGGACCACTGATAGCATAGTGGGCAAAATTAAATGCCAGAGAAAACTCACCACTTGTTTAACATAAATGAGGATCCATTAACCTAATTGGGTTGAGATTCTCAGAAGGACTGAAACTGTCTAAAGAAGCAGACATATAGTAAGATCAAAGTTACCAGTCAGTCAATGATCTGATTCTACCCTGAAGGTCCATTCGTTATGAATGGGCACTTGACTTGCTGTTCATCCGTTACGTTTTATTCATTATCATTATCTGTAAAGCAGTAATCTTTATAAAAATGATATTTCTTTAATCTGGATGTTTGTCTCAGACATAAACTAAACATCATTATAGACAGGTGAGTGTCTGCCAGTGTTACGAAGTTGTAGTTGTGTGTGTGTGTGTGTGTGTGTGTGTGTGTGTGTGTAAGACTCTACTATGTAGCATAATGGTGTTAGACACAAAATCATCTTGACAAGGTCATGCTGCAGAGTACTTTAGCTTTCTGGTTGTTCTAGCTTGGGATCTTTACTTTAAAAATACAGAAAAAAATGGAGCATAGATTAATTAAAGCGTTAAATTCTGCCTCCCAAGAACTTTGCCAAGAGACACAGATGCCATTCATTGAACCACAAAGCTCCTCTTGCTTAGCAAACTTTCCATCATGCAACCCATGAAGCACATGCTAACTCACCAGGTCCTGGTTCAGTATTCCCAAGCTGCAGGGTGTGGCATGTAAAGAATAGAGCACAAAATAAATAGATTTGAAAGCAGAAGTGAAAAAAGACCACTTTAGCAAGGCCAATAACTACGAGATATAAAATTAATGTGTAACATAATCTTTAAAAGATCGAACTTGAGACATCTGATGCTGAAGTCTTGTCACTGGGTGCCTGTTTAAGTGTTCTGGGCTAGTGCTGGTTTGTAACTGGGCTCTCTCCATGGTGCAAATTAAGCAACTCTTCTGCTATCCAGAATAACTTACTCAAACCTCTCCCTTCTCTCTTTGTTTTCCAAATAAAAAAAAATGTTTGGCTTTAATTTTCAACTTCTTATCAATCCATATGCATAATAGAGCACCATAGCAATTCTTCATTATACTAATGGGGGAAAAATTAACTTGACATCAAGCCTAATTGAGTAAAACCTCACTAATTTTTTCTAAATAGGGATAAGTCTTGCTTGATTAGTGGAAGCAATTTAGTATAGAACATGTTTAGATAAATGCTCTCATACTGATTTCAGAACTTACACTAACAAACGAGGCTACAGCAGCAGGCACAGCTATGAGTAGACCCTTAAGAAAACCCGCCACCATCTACAGGTAAGTAATACGGCCTATCCGTTACACAAGAGCAATTTCTTCAGATTGGCTTTTTTTTTCAGTTATTAAAAATTAACTTAAACTTTAGAATCATGTGGGGGAAACCTCAAAGACAGTTTTTATAGATATTGCCAAGATAGTCTATAGCCCAGCCTATAACCCAAAGGATCAAGCTGTAATTAACTGATGAGCCACCTGGCTGGTAGAATCAAAATGAAGAAGGATTCACTCTGCAGGCCAGCCTCCGCTCACCGCCAGCTCCGTTCCTAAGGCTCTTCTGTAATCAGACCTGGTTAGAACAACGCTCCCATTAGGAAGCTGTGTGGAGCATGGGGAACAGGGAACTGGGATGCGAGACACCAGGAGACCTCACTGAGGTGCCCAAGATGCTTCTAACAGACAGAATTTGGCTGGGTGCTGCTCAGCGCTGTTGCAAAAGTAACAAAACAGTGATGACTATGAAGAGTTTCTACTTGTTTATCCCGTAAGAAGTGGTCAGCCCTGAAATCATATACATATAAGCAGCAATGAACTGACTCAGAAGGTGATATCTATATACTTATGTGTTTTGTATAAAATACTGCATATTGAATTTATATATGTGTATTATATATTATGCATATAAATAATACATATAATATATATATATAATCAAAGAAAAAGAGCATCAATTTCAGAGTGGGTGAAGAAGGGATTTGGGAAGGGTTAAAGGGAAACATGATGTAATCATATTTTAATTTAAAAAGATTTTAAGGCAAATAAATTCAGCTCTGAGTTTTCTTCTCTCTGAATCCTGGCATTGGGCTTCCATGTTAACCAGTTCTTAGCATAGACACCTATGGGAAATGAACTGACTTCAAATTATATGATTTTATAGAGTACATAGAGACAGTGTGGCTCATTCCTGAAATACCAGGACTTGGGGCGTGAAAGCAGGACAACCTTGAGCTTCTGAGTCGCCCGGAGAGACCCAGACTCAAAACATAATGTCGTAATTTTAAAAATAGTAAACACTTTATATGTGGAAGACTACATGAGTGGAACTAACAAGATGATTTTTAAAGAAATGAACTGGTTGATGATATATCCATTTGAGTCACATTACTTCTCAGCCAGAGCAGCCAGGTGGTCCTTACCGATGGTAACTGGAGACTTTTCTTTGGGAAAGTCAGACCCAAGAGCCTTGTTCCCAGGCAAAGCAAACAAGGAGGAAACCGAAGCTCGGGCTGCAGACAAATAAGTAGTCAGCACTCCAGCCTCTCACCTTCCAGACCAAAAGGAAGCAAAAATGATCCGCTGCCGACCACCCACCCAAAAAAGACTGAGAAGCAAGGCCCAAATATTCTCATATAGACCTTCCAGTTCCAGATCAATGGGGGTGGGGGAGGGTTCTGAGATTTCAGATCCCTGTAACATTTGTAACACTTTGTGTATGTTACATACCGAAGGGCAGAGTGCTCCATCCCTCTGACACATTACCAGGACTCATTAGATACTCGTAAATACTTACTGGGTGACTTAATGTGTTTAAGTCTGTGAGACTCTCACCGAGATCCAAGCATCTCAAAACCACTTGTTTTTTACAGGGCATCACTGCTGCTGAAGGCCGGCTCCCTGATATCCCCTACTTTGCGGATAAATTCCACTTCACTGTACCGCAGCTTTAAACATAACATGTACAGTAATCAACTTCTGCAAATGGCAGAGTAATTTTTTTCTCTTATTATAAAGTAAGTAGGAGACGGGTTGCAGATTACAGGAGGAATGAGCTAGATGGTCCCTCTAGTGGCCTGGAATCACTGATACATGCCACCAAGGATGCAGTATTCCCAGGGAATCAAGATCTCGTAGCAGAGTCCCAAACTGTGTGTCATAGAGGAAGAAATGTTCCACATACAGAGGTTGGTGTGACCCCTCCGTACCACAAGAAAGAACAAAGCAACCTCGAGGGTAGAATGTGTCACATTATCTAGAGACAACTGAGTAACTGGATGTGCATTCACGTGCACATCCCCACGTCACAAAGACTGCTATGTTTCTCATTCACTAGGTGCAAAGAAACCTCAAAACTGTCAACTACCTTCTAACGTCTTACTATGATAAATATGTGTTTTGATGATAAAGTATTTTTAATTGTCTAAAGCTGTTGGTTTTATATGATGGATCACAGACAAAATTCCAGAGACTACTAACTTTAAACAGCCTTGTCTACTGATTATTCTGTGACGAGCCACAACGGTTTGGATGAATTAAAAAAAAACCACATTCCTTACACATACATTTTAATTATTTCATAATATTTCTTTCATTCTTCTTATACTTCAGAAAATCAAGAATCGTGCTATTAAAATCTAGATTACTATATAATTTATGTCCTATCAATAATTTGAACAACATTTCTTAACTCATAATTTTGATAGTTTCTTAATATTTTCAATTTTGGAAAAAAACTGGAACATCAGCATCTGATGTTGTCGATTGGATTCCTGAACCCACACTTGGATTCAAACAAACTGGTTTTGTTTAAAACACTTTTTATTATATATTTAAGCTAGAAACAAGCTTGCTTTCCATGTCAGTCCCAGTTCCCTCTCTCTCCCCTCCACGCCCACTCCCCCTCACCAGTCCCCCCAGCCTCCCACCCAATCCCCACTCCATTCCCCAGGGAGGGTAAGGCACTCCATGGGGGATCTCTAGAGTCTGTCATTTCATTCCGGGGAGGGCCCAGGCCCTCCCCCAAGTGTCCAGATTGAGAGAGCATCCCTCGTTGTGGGATGGGCACCCAAAGTCCATTTGTGAGCCAGGGATATAAACTGATCTACAACTCAAAGTCCCATAGATTGCCTAGGTCTCCTCACTGACACCACATTCAGGGGGTCTGGATCAGTCCCATACTGGCCTCTCAGACATCAGTCTGGGGTCCAAGATCTCCCCTAAACATAGTAAAAGTTATATACAGCAAACCAAAAGCCAACATCAAACTAAATGGAGAGAAACTCAAAACAATTCCTCTAAAATCAGGAACAATACAAGGCTGTCCACTCTCTCCATATTCTTCAATATTGTACTTGAAGTTCTAGCCAGAACAATAAGACAACAAAAGGAGATCAAGGGGATACAAATTGGAAAGTAAGAGGTCAGACTTTCATTATTTGCAGATGATATGATAGTTTACATAAGTAACCCAAAAAACCCTACCAGGGAACTCCTACAGCTGATAAATACCTTCAGCAAACTGGCAGGATACAAGATCAACTCGACAAACTAAATGTTTTAAATACTGTGATCTATCATTTCGATGAAATCATCTGTATGATGGGGGAAGTCCTTCTGTGTATATGTTGATGAATAAAAGCACTGTTGGCCAATAGGAAAGCAAGATAGGTGGGACTAGGAGTTGCAGAGGATTCTGGGAAATGTAGTGAAGAGAGTCATCACCATGTGATCCTGGGAAAGAAAGGACAGGTCAGGATGCCATCCTTGGAAAGATAAATCTTTATAGAAATATATATTAGTAATTATGGGTTAATAATTAAATCAGAGGTAGCCATTAAGAAACCATAGCAAACGGCCAACAACTTCATAATTAATATAGTGTTTCGTGTGTTATTTGGGTGCTAAAAGAGCAACAAGACCCAAGTGGCTAGCAGGAAGACTACATGTTACATCTATAGTAAATTGTTATTATAATATTAATCATCTTAAAACACCTGTTTATTAGGAATACTATAGTTTACCTCACAGCACCTGCTGCCTTGTGAAGTAAACCAGGCCTTCAACTTTGCTCCTTAAATTCTATTTATATTTCTATATAATCTAAAGAATACTGGAAATAGCAATATGCTAGCCAGTTTGTTTAAGCCTTTATTCTTCCATGACTATTCCTTCAACAAAATGTTCACAAAACAATTCCTACAAGAAACCAATGTCTGTGACAAGCAGGGTGGCACACGCCTTTAATATTAGTAACTCGAAGGCAGAGGCAGGGGGATCTCCAGGTTGAAGGCCAAACTGATCTATAGAGCAAGCTCCAGGACAGCCAGAGCTACATAGGAAAAAAAACCTTGTCTCAAAAACAGAAAAGAAGGAAGTGGAAGAAAGAGAGGGAGAGAAAGGAAGGAAGGAAGGAAGGAAGGAAGGAAGGAAGGAAGGAAGGAAGGAAGGAAGGAAGGAAGAGAGAGAAGGGAGAAAGGAAGGAAGGAAGGAAGGAAGGAAGGAAGGAAGGAAGGAAGGAAGGAAGGAGAGAGAAGGGAGGAAGGAAGGAAGGAAGGAAGGAAGGAAGAAAGGAAGGTTGGTCAGTACTATTTGTGCAGTTCATGTCAGAACTTGATACATAGGTATTATCCAGGGCCATATCTTCTCTTCCCTCTTCCCCAGATGTGCAGTTCCTGGAAGTATGCTCTAGATAGAATTCTAGCCTTATTCTCTCCTGTCCATTGACACATTGCTCATGTGGTTAGAAATTGCAGTCTTTTCTATTCCAAAACTGGAGGAATCATGTCCCAGGTGTACCATGCTAACACCCTCATACATTAAAGTTCGAGTACCCTCTTGGAAGACACGTCTGACTACTTTATACACTATCAGAACACTCTCTTCTTGGGCACCTTCATGACTGGCTCTCCCCCTTACCTAATCCTCTGCCTTGAGGGACTCTTTCCTGATGGCTCTGTCCAAAGAAGCTCCCACATGTCAATCACCAGGTTTTGCTTTCATCACAGCACGTACAGCTTTCTCGTAGCTTCTTGTTTCACTCTTTGCTACTATTCCCACCACATAAACTAAAAGGCGGGAGAATGTGTTTGCCTCTCAGACCCCTGTGCCTATGGCACTGAGCAAGGACTCAGTAAATATTCATTGGAAAAATGAATGAAAACCTGTACAAGTCCCATACAAATAGTCTTTTGATCAATACATTTAGACCATGTAAAGCATGGTGCTTATATTTACTGGAAACATCCTCAGGCAGAGCTAATTCTAAAGCAAGAGTCTTAATACCTTAATTAACCCAAGCATTTGAACAGCTTAATTTGTTAAAAGGGAAATGTTTGGCAGCACAGAGAGATGGCTCAGCAGGTAAGGGTTCTTGCCATCAGCCCGATGACCTGAGCTAAACTCTCAGAACCTGCTAGGGGGATACTGGGAAAAAGAAGGGCTGAGTCTTGGGAGTCACCAACCAGACTCAGAGGAAGCAGGACGTGTAGAAAATGAGGTAACAAGCCATGAGCCATGCTGCATCAAGTAAAGGAACAGAAGTGGGTTGATTTGAAATGTAGAGCTACAGAGTTAAGGGTTGGGAAAAGATTTTCCAATCAAATGGTCCCAAGAAACAAGCAGGGGTACCAATTCTAATATCTAACAAACTAGGCTTTAAACTGAAATCAATCAAAAGAGATGAAGGTCATTACATACTCATCACAGGAAAAATCCACCAAGATGAAGTCTCGATTCTGAACATCTATGCCCCAAATACAAAGCCATCCACATTCATAAAAGAAACATTACTAAAACTCAAACCACACATAAAACCTCACACACTAATAGTGGGAGACTTCAACACCCCACTGTCACCACTAGACAGGACTACAAGACAGAAACCTAACAATGAAACAAAGGAACTAATAGAGGTTATGACCCAATTGGGTTTGACAGACATCTATAGAACAATCCATCCAAACACAAAAGAATACACCTTCTTCTCAGCGCCACATACTTGGCAATATAGCAAACCTCAACAGGTACAAAAAAGTTGGAATAACTCCATGTATCTTATCAGACCACCATGCTTTAAGTTAGAGTTCAACAACAACACAAACTGAAGGATACCTACAAACTCATGGAAATTGAATATTGCGCTATTGCTCCATGCCTGGATCAAAGGAGAAATAAAAAAAATTAAAGACTTACTAGAATTCAATGAGAATGAAGACACAACATATCCAAACTTATGGGACACTTTGAAAGCAGTGCTAAGTGGAAAGTTCATAGCACTAAGTGCCCACATGAAGAAACTGGAGAATAGTTACACTACAGAACTAACAGCACAGCTGAAAGCTCTAGAACACAAAGAAGCAAACTCACCCAGGAGGAGTAGACGCCAGGAAATAATCAAATTGAGGGCTGAAATCAATAAAGCAGAAACTAGGAAAACAATACAAAGAATCAATGTAACAAAGAGATGGCTCTTTGAGAAAATCAAAAAGATAGACAAACCTTATCCAAACTCACCAAACGGCAGAATATGAACATGCAAATTAACAAAATCAAAAATGAAAGGGGGGGACATAATAACAGATACTGAGGAAATTCAGAGAATCATCAGGTCATACTTTGAAAACCCATACTCCACAAAATTCAAAAATTTAAAGGAAGTGGACAACTTCCTGGATAGATATCACCTGCCAAAATTAAATCAAGAACAGGTAAGCATTTTAAATAGACGGATAACACCTAAGGAAATAGAAGTCATCAAAAGTCTCCCAAACAAAAAAGCCCAGGGCCACATGGCTTCAGTGCAGAATTCTACCAGAAATTCAAAGAACAGCTTATACCACTTCTCCTCAAAGTATTCCATGCAATAGAAGCAGAGGGTCTTTGCCAAACTCTTTTTACGAGGCTTCAATAAAATTGATACCCAAGCCACACAAAGACACAACTGAGAAAGAGAACTTCAGACCAATTTTCCTCATGAACATTGATGCAAAAATACTCAATAAAATACTGGCAAATCGGATCCAAGAACACATCAGAAAACTCATCCACCATGATCCGTTAGGCTTCATTCCAGGGATGCAGGGTTGATTCAACATACGAAAATCTATCAATGTAATCCACCATATAAACAAGCTGAGGAACAAAAATCACATGATCATCTCACTAGATGCTGAAAAAGCCTTTGACAAAATCCAACACCCTTGCATGTTAAAGGTCTTGGAGAGATCTGGGATAACAGGAACATACCTAAACATGATAAAAGCTATATACAGCAAACCAACAGCCAACATCAAACTAAATGGACAGAAACTCAAGGAGATTCCCCTAAAATCAAGAACAAGACAAGGTTGTCCCCTCTCCCCATACCTCTTCAATATTGTACCCTAAGTTCTAGCTATAACAATAAGACAACAAAAGATCAAGGGGATACAAATTGGAAAGGAACAGGTCAAACTTTCACTATTTTCAGATGATATGATAGTTTACATTAGTGACCCAAATAACTCTACCAGGGAACTCTTACAACTGATTAACACCTTCAGCAAAGTGGCAGGATACAAGATCAACTCAAGAAAATCAACAGCCCTACTATATACAAAAGATAAAAGGGCTGAGAAAGAAATCAGAGAAACATCAGCCTTTACACTTGCCACACACAAGTTAAAATAC